GAGAGAGAGAGAGAGAGAGAGAGAGAGAGAGAGAGAGCGTGCGCTACACTCCTTGTCTTCCCATTCTGGGATGAAAGTGTTGGAAACAAAATAGGCCAAATTTCAGATCCTTCTTCCTAGAGCTGTGCATGTGTGTGTGTGAGCCACACTCCTTGTCTTCTATATAGGAACTGGCAGTAAGGCCCAGGCCACCTACCCATGAAAATAAGGCCAACCTGTCATCTGTGGCTTGTGGTATTCACAGGTAGCCAGTGACTGCTCAGGAAGTTTATGGCAAAGGCACAAGATAGTTGAAATTTTATAAAGTAAACAAAGGGTTAAAATCCATAATTATATGCATATAAGGAGGTTCTACAATTAGTAAAAACATTTTTAAAAGAAAACAAAGGTAATAAGTAATTCATAGAAATACATATGGCCAGTATATATATGAATGAAAAGATATAAAAGTTCACTAATTATCAAAGGAATGAATACTATTTAAAATAATGAGGTGCCATCTTTCACTTCTTTTTAGACCGGCATGTACAATCGAAGAGCACAAGCTTTGGCCCAGGTATACAGAAATGGCCATTCTCATGTACACTGTGACAGAAACAGAGGTTGTTGGTTCAGCTTTCGGAGACAACACGCCAGCAACCATAAGCTTGTAAACATGTATCTTTTTCGATTCAGCAATCCCACTTCCTGGAAACCACACGACTGAAACCCTCGTGTAAGTGCACAAATAGAGATGTTTATCACAACACTTTCGTAGTGAGAAGACAACAGCCTACCGTCTATGTCTATCAACAGCGGGAGGGAGGTAAACACCCGCTGGTTCACCTGGGACTTGCGCAGTCTTTAGAAGACCTACGAGTGCAGACATGGGAAGTTGTCTATGACGAACCGTTCAGCCAAACAAGAGAATGACTATTTTTGTCAACCACAAACTGTGAGCTCAGGGCATGTGGCTTATGGTTTATACATGCATGAAGACACAAGACAGAACAGAGGCCAAAGGACTTCAGGGGGGAGGGGGGTTGCCTCTGAGGAATGATCTTGGAGGCTGAAATTGCTGACTTTTTTACAAGTATGTATATTTATAACTAGTAAAAATAAGAGGGAACTTTAAAAAGAATAAAGTTATCCTATGGAGCTCTGGTAGCGTAGTGGTTACGAATCGGGCTGCGAGCCTCAGGGTCAGCAGTTCGAAACTACCGGCTGTTCTGTGGGAGAAAGATGAGGCTTTCTGCTCCCGTAAGGATTTGCAGCCTTGGAAACCCTGTATAGGGTTGCTATGAGTCGGAACCGACTCATAACTCCACGGCACATAACAACAACAACAACATGGAGCAGTACACATGTATACATTCTAGCATGACTCCAAGTTTCTAACACTCCTATGTCTTTAAACTTTTATCAGGTACTCAGAGTTTCCAGAGCAGAGAAATGGATGTATACTGAACGAAAGTCCATTTCCCAGGTTTTCAGTGGAAATACGAAGGGATAACGGGAGGAGCACCTAGGGTTGGAGGTATGACAGAGTGCAGAAGGCGGTGAGTTCCTGGTGGCGGGACCTGAGGTCAGTACTCAACCCTGTGGTCAGTTTCTCATCTGCCCAGTGGGGACAAGAGGCCTCAGTGAATGGCAGTGGTCAGTCCAAGGCATAATCAGGCAGAAGGTACAATACCGCCGGGCTGCCTCCGTTGTGAGGACTAAATAATGTAATGCCTATTGAGTATTTAGCTGCTGCCTGGGGAACAGCAGGTACACAGTGCATTTGTTTCCCCTCATCTTTCTGCTTAATAAAAAGTTTGTTGGGAAAACAACAGTTTACAAAATAAGGCAAAGCCACCACCTCTGAGAGGCTGATCCTCCCTTTGCCCCAGTGGTTCCTCCACATTGCGGTGCTCTGCTCTGGGCTTTCCTGCTGTGTGTGTATAATCGACTGTCTCAGCCTGTGCTCTCCCAACAGTTCCAGCTTCCCCGTTTTCTCCTACAGGCAGTACTGGAGTTAAGACCCCGAAACGTTCTGAATTAAGCTCACACTGCCGTTGATGAAGCCAGGACCAATGAAGCCAGAGCTCTCCTTACCCATGGAAACCAGAGACTCGTAGTTGCCCCTCATGACGTTTTTGTAGAGTTCCTTCTGCCACTCCGAGAGGTTTCCCCACTCCTGCTCCGAGAAATGGACGGCGACGTCATCGAATGTGACAGGAACCTGAAATCACAGACATGAGCTGGACTCTGACTTCCTGGAAGGCAGTCACCGGTCTAGAGACGGTGACACTGTACTAAGTGAGATACCTGGAGAAGGTGCCAGTTTTGCTCTTTTACAAGCTCTCCTCTCCCTTTGTTTACCCTTAAACCAGGGGTGGATGTTATTATTAAAGGAGAACCTTGTTTGTTTGTTTTTTTTGCCCAGGGCCATTTGGAGACTTATACCATCCTAGTGTGGCTCTGTGGGTTAATGCAAAGTTGGTTTGAACTATAAGGTTGGAGGTTCAAGCTCACTCACTGCTCCTCAGAAACCCATCTATACAAGGTCCCTAAGGGTCAGAACCAACTTGACAGTACTTAACAACTTAATATAAACTTACATTGCTATGTAAAAAGCTCCAAGATTTATTGAGTCCCGCCTACCTTTGTCTGGGCAGGGCTGGATTCTTATAAGGCCCTCGGGCTGGCTGTGCCCCACCCCTGCCTTAAACTCATTTCCTGAACTTTCCCTTTCAGATCACACCCTTGGGAAGTCTGCTAGAGCAGGTTACCTTGGGGACTTCTCCATTGCTGCCCGGGGGCAGCCGCAGGATCCAGAAGTTTCTATTCTTCAGCAGGTTCTCCATGTTCTCCAGCCTCCGCTGCAGCAGCCCGTACTCCTGCAGCAATGTCCCCAGCACAACCCACTTGCTCTCTAGATGGTTCGCAAACTCCACGGCAGTCTTCTCGCAGTCGGCTATCTTTTTCTCATTTGTCCCCGTCCTGCCCTCCAAGGTCAGCAGTCTCATGGCCTGGGCCTCCAATTTCCGCTCCACCGCTTGGACAGCGGCCCACACCGCCAAGCGGGTGATCTCTGCCGTGGGGAGTGGCATTTCCTTCTGGGCTGCCGAGGAGAGCTGGAAAGGGGTGTCCTTCTGGGAAACTGGGCTCTGGAGCAGGGGGTCCAAGTCAGTCTCGGGGACGGTGGGAGAGAGGGTCAGGGGCTCCTTCTCAGGAACTTCCGGGGAGTGGAGTGGGGCTTCTTGGTGGTGGGTGGAGTGGGAGAGAATGGAGAGCTGTGGCTCGGCAGCAGTGGGGGGCGGATACTGGCTCTCTTCCTGGGGAGCCAGGTGACACTGCAGACGAGACTCCTGCTCAGCAGTAGCGGGGTAGAGGAGTGAAGGTCCCTTCTGGAGCACATGCGACATTCGGCCAGAAGTCTCTTGCTTGGGGGCGCTGGGAGTTTGGGGCAGGGAGCCTTGCCGGGGAACAGCAGGAGACAGAGAAGGGATTTCTTTGGGGGGAAGAATACGGGATTGGAACAGCGATTCTCGGGAGAGTCCAGCAGGGGCCTGACGCAAGGCTTCTTCTTGAGGGACGTTGGGGAATGACAGAGGTGATGAGTGTTGGGTCTCCATCTCCAGCTGCTGGACCTGTTATTAAAGGAAGAAAACACAAGACTGAAGGCCAGTCTCCAGCAAGCGAAATGAGTTTCAAAGAGAATTATCCACATTAAAAAGGTTTCAGTTCTGGTAGCAAAAAACCCAAAAAGGTGATCTGGGGCATGAGTCTTTGTCTAGAACCAAGGCATCGATTCAGCTGTCAGTAATAAAACTATCACTGTTGTTGTTAAGTGCAGTGGAGTCGGTTCTGACTCAGAGTGACCCTGTATAGGTTTCCCAAGGAGTGGCTGATGGGGTTTGAACTGCTGACCCTGCAGTTAGCATTCCAGTGCTTAACCTACAGCACCACACCAGGACTCCAAAAATACCATTGTTGTTGTTGTTATGTGCCGTGGAGTCGGTTCCGACTCATAGCGACCCTGCACAGGATTTCGGAGACTGTAAATCTTTACAGGAGCAAAAAGCCTCATCTTTCTCCCGTGGAACTACCCTGAGGTTACTAGCCCAATTCATAACCACTACACTACCAGAGCTAACAGCTAATAAAAGCTGGTTGTACTTTTCCTATGGACTGCTAGCGTGGCACTGCAGGGTCAACACTGGACTATGAATCACAAGGTTGGCAGTTCAAACCCACCAGCGGCCCCTCAGAAACACTCTAAGGGGCACTATGAGTCAGAACCGACTTGACGGCACGTAACAACAACAACAACAACAAACTGCTTTCTAGGGGCCCTGGTAGTACAGTGGTTAAGCACTTAACTGCTAACTGAAAGGTCTGTGGTTTAAACCCACTAGCTGCTACATGAAGGATGGGGTTGTGCATTTCTGGAAAGATTGGTATGTGTGGAAGCCCTCTGGGGCAACCCTGTTCTATTTTACAGGGTCAGGAGGAGATTGAAGTTATCAAAGACTTCATTTTGCTTGAATCAACCATCAACACTCATGGAAGCAGTAGACAAGAAATCAAACAACACAATTGCATTAGGCAAATCTGCTGCATAAAACCTCTTTGAAGTGTTCAAGAGAAAAGATGTCAGTTTGAGGACTAAGGTACGTTTGACTCAAGTTATGGTATTTTCAATAACCTCATCTGCCTGGTCACAAATAATGAGCAAATAATCCGGGAAGCTGGGTTATACGAAGAAAAACATAGCATCAGGATTGGAGGAAGACTCATTAACAACCTATGATATGCAGATGATACAACCTTGCTTGCTGAAAG